ACTCAGAGAAGCCTCAAAGAAACGTATGACCAATTCTTTGAATAGCACAATTTTTCATTCCCTTTTCTCTTTTTGTGACATGATTAACTCTTAATACAATCGTCTCCTTTCTCCTCTTTCCTGATACTTTCAGCTCCTGCATCCTCATTATCACACTCATCTTTCCTCATCTTTCCTCATCTCGAGTTCTGAGAGGTTTGCTTCTCCACTAACTCGACCAGCAGTGCTGTCAGATTGAGTCAACAGATGCAACGTGAGCAGAGAAACACTCTGAAGCCCCAGCCAATCTGTCTGTCTGTCTGAGCGCTGAAAGAAACAGGAACACGCAGAGAGAGAGAGGAATAAAGAAGGGATTGAGGGAGAGAGGACGAAAAACAGGGTTTAAAGGACAGGAAAATGATGAATATGCAGACAGAAAGCTAGAACATTTCCAAACGGGCTAATCTGTGCAAGGAAAATGCAGAAGAGCAGAAGGGAAAGTGCTGTTTGTATGTGAAGAGACAGTCGCAGTGGGCGTTCACAGCCTGTTTTGTCTCTCTCTTAGGCCTTTTTCATTACATTCCCCAGGTTCTCATTCGCTATGTGTGTTTGTGCTGACAGCTCCAGTATTTCGGGCCCTGCCGAAGGGGCCGTAGACATGCTTGACGTGCCGTTTGTCATTCGATTGGCCAGCAGCGACGGGCTCAGGCAGATGCTGAAACTGACCTTCTTTCAGGCAATATGATTCAGTTACGCAACGCACACGACTGTGGGGTGACACAGTTAGTAGAAGAACAAACTACAACCAGAATATTCAAGCAGTTACTTGAATTTAAAGAAGCAGCATGTCATTTCAAAGTTGGAGCGAAGAAAACCGCCCTATTTAACGATCTAAGCGTATGATCTAAAGCGCAAGTGCACTTAGGTCGTGTCCGAATCGGTAACGCTTCCTTTTACAGTACATTACTTACGTGTACTTACAGTGTACGTACCTAGAAAGTACTGCTAATATAAGGTAAGTACATGGGTTAGGGGTAGGTTCAGGGTTAGTACCTAATTATTACCCAGTAATTGTAATTACTATAATAAGTACATGGGTAACAGGACTGTAAAAGTAAGCGTTACCTCCGAATCTCCTTTTGCTAGTTTAATAATGGGACAAATGGTCGCGTGTGCGGCGCGTGGTCTAAAAGGGTTGTCTCTATAAGATCTTAATGTGTAATGGGTGTGTTTTGGGTGTAACGTGCAATAAACCAATCAGAGTTTCATCTCCCATTCCCTTTAAAAGCCAGTCGCGCTCGAGCCATGGCGGATTCGCTATTTACACGATGGAATTTGCAAGCGGAATAACTGGACGCTTCTCCAGAGAGCAAACGGATCTGCTCGTGCGCGAGGTTAAAGCATAAGTTTAGACTGAATGGGATAAGCCGGATTCCACCATATCTATTTATATATATATATTTTATATTGTAATCCTTTTATTTGTATATCTGGCATGTTTGTGTGCTGCTGCGCATCCCTGTGTGTTTAATAAGCAGAGTATACGCGCGTCGTGGACCCGTGTAATATAGGCGCATATTACTAATGTGCTCTTTAAATAAGAAACGTGCCAATAATGCGCCTCGTTTTCATACCAGCAGTTCATGGACGCACAAATGGGGGTAAATGCATTTGCCATTTAAACAACGTGGCGGAACACGTGAAAATGAAAACGGCGTCAGGCTGGAACTAGCTAAACAAACTTGCGTCGCGCCTGGCGCTGCATTGCACCGGCTGTATTATAGGGGCCTATGACTGTTTTTAAACTATTTTCACTAACAACCCTGTTCCCTGTCTGTCATTGGTCAGTCAAACAGATAGCTCCGCCCCCTAACTCACACCATTGGTTGAGCAGCTTTTGGGTCGCAGATGAACGTTCAACTTTTGATGAAGATAAACAACCAATAACTGACTTAACGTGTCTCTGAACACACCAGAAACGATTTGAACATACATACAATTACACATCACCATTAATTACCAACCATTAGAGCATTGAAATCAACAAGCATGGCCTAAATCTGCCACTGATGGATGCTTTAAAATTTAAATAACCCTTAACATGCACTAATTTGTTTTCCTACCCAATACAATTTCACCATATTTCCAAACATTTTCCACACAAACATTAGACTATTAATTATTATTAGGGTTGTCATTTGATCAAAAATAATTAATTGTGCATATTGTTAACTAAAACATAAGTTTCATCAATTGAAATAAAGCTGAAATGAAATAAAATGTAAACCTTAGATTAAAAACTTAAACTTTAAAAAACCTAAACAAAAATTAAATGTTTTGCCTTGGCAACTAACTGAAATGAAAATTGTAGATAGAATTAAAGGTAAAGTTATAACATATACAAATAAAAGCTAATTAAAATGATTACTAAATAATACTATATTATTAGTGCTGTCAAATCGATTAATCACGATTAATCACATCTGTCATAAAAGTTTGTAAATATATGTGTGTGTGTATATATACTAATTAACAAACTTAGATGCGATTAATCACGATTAATCGCATCTATCATAAAAGTTTGTAAATATAAGTGTGTGTGTATATATACTAATTAACAAACTTAGATGCGATTAATCACGATTAATCGATTTGACAGCACTAAATATTATATAAATAATACCAAAATAACAGATTTGTAAATAAAGCATAAGTAAAATAAAGCATTTACTATAAAGCAAAACAAATGCTTAGGTGATATTTCACATTCACATACAAATTGAATGCCTTTAAAAATACTGAATTAATACAAACACTTATTGCATTAATACTCAAAAGTTAATTAGCAGCCTTAATTAGTCTAATCTCTTCCTCAAAGTGTAACAGACACAACCCAGATAAGTTGGCCTTAGAAATGACCAGCACAAATCCATTCATCAAACACAGGCCTGTGGGAGAGAGTTTATTACTGTTAGTGTGAAGCTGCTTTTAACTCATCGTCTAATCTTTAAATAATCTCCCTTCAAGTCACTGAGCTCAAAATCCACACATGAGAGCTGAAACTCGACTAAAAGCTTGATAGACTCTCAAGAGGAGAATACCAGCCAAACTCTGTTTTTATTTCCCAAAACTCAATGTTCTACTTAGCAGCCGTGCTCCAGTTTGACACCAACACCTCACTGAGATGCTTTATGATGTAGTGTAATTCGATTTCTAAATATACTGAGAAGCTTCACATGTGCAAAACTGACCCCAATGTGGTATCAGGTTCCTCCTTTAAAGTCCCCCTGTGGTGAAAATCCAGCTTTTAATGTTGTTTATATGTGGTGTTTTTAATATGCTTTAGGACAAACCATGTGTAAGTTCATAAGTCGACAGCATTGCTGAGTATTTCCTCCTTAAAACTGCAGTGAACCAAAGACAGTCTCAAAAACACGGTTTGAAATCGCTGGTGTTTCTGACGTCACAAACGACCTTGTAACCAATCAGATCAACGTGTGATCGTCAACCAGTGGATCTCTGAGCTGAGTGAGTGAGTGGAGGCGGGGCTCATTTGCATATTCATAGAACCATGCATACTAAATGAGGCGAGGGTGTCGAGTTACATTCAAGATATTTTAAGGCATGAAGAATTTTTTTCAAGGAAAAACGTTTAAGCGTCATTTCGGTGAGTTTTAAGGGATACAATTATTGACCACACGGGGACTTTAATGCAAGTCCCACCGGTTTTCTCATCTGGCAGATGAAAATTGTGCATTCGATCGCTTAGACAAACAAGTTAAATGGCAAATATACACATAATGTCAGGGGTTTGTTCAAATCACTGACACAAACTCACTATGAGCAATAGTAATATTGATGCTGCCTTATCAAAGCCCAGTAATTATGGTTTCACAGCACATACACATTCTCTCTGACGCTCTTATATTCTCCCACTCCACTTCTCTTTCTATTTCTCTCTGTCCTTGGCAATGATGATTGAAGTGGCAAGAAGGTAATTGGCATTCTGGAACAATGGTAATGACCTCTGAAAGGACTCGTGCTGTCCCAGTGACAGCCACTCATTTCTGATTTGTTTGGACAGCGCATCATTCTGTTCATTTCGCCCTCTCTCTCTCCGCATGCATTAAAGTCCTTTTGAAGAATAAACAGGGTTTCGTGACACTGGCTCTGGCACAGAGGAACCAGCGGGACTCAAACTCTCAAAGATATCATGCATTGTGCATGAAATCAAAAGTTTTGTTTTTTGCAACTGGCTATATTAGCATTTCCAGAAACAACGCTGAAAAATGTTTGGTGTAGAAACAATTTTCACTTAGAAATTGCTAGTCAATTTCACAAACAATTTCAAAGAAATGGCAAGTAACACAAGTTTTGAAGTAGAAAACTGGAATAGTAGTTTCTAGTAAAATCATATTCAAACAACTTCCATTCAGTATACATATTAAAATAAGACATATCTAATATAAAATATTGCATATCTAATATATCACAATTATATCCCTTAGATAGCAATGAAAAGGCAATTAAAGATACCAATCTGCAATCATGTCTGAGATCAGCAGGTTTGATTTGTGAATTGTGAAATGCATGAATTTGATCAAATGTTTAATGCAATGTGAGTTGCTCTGAATTAAAGCTCAGCCTAATGCATAAATGTTGAGATCTTAATATGAAATAATTACTTACATGATGGAATGATCTGAGCTGCAATTCACATTCATTTTTTTGATGCATTAGTGTCTTTTTTATTTCTTTTGTTATATAATGTTGATATTTGAACTCATGAGCTATAATAGAGCACTACAATCTTCTATTGTTTTATTACTTTTCTTTCAAATTCATGCATGCCCAGAGAGATTGTTAACCAATGCATCAGGTTATTTTTTGCAAAATAACTACGCAAAAGTTTTATTTACAGAGAAAAAAATAGCTTTTCGACTTGTGGTTAAACCGCTGTGTAAAAGTAACAAGAGAAACCTTTTAAATGTGATGCAGCCAAAGGTCAGATTCACACTCACCGTTTTTGTCAGCTCTGCGGAAAATCTGTGAAGAGATGAAGATGAAAAAACAGTCAATGACAGTTTATCAGCGTGCGCAGAATTCAGAAGCATTGAGGATTGATGGAAATGAAAAGTGGAGAGCAATGTTAAACATAATTTGGCCTTTAATGAACTTCCCCTTTAGAGCTTCATGGTGTTCTCTCTTCAACACTGATGGAACGTGACATTACATCTGAGATTCCTTCATAAAGCCTGTTAGTCACATAAACAAACTACACATCATCTCAAAAACCATGCAAAATACACACACTCTCTCTCTCTCTCTCTCTCTCTCTCTCTGTCTCTCGCTCTACTTTTGACCTCTATAATCATAGACTTTCACTAGGAGGGAGCTGAGGTCCATCCTGGGATGCTTTTTAATAATACTGGAGGAACACGCATGCTGCACACTTGATGATGCTTTTACTTAGTAATTCATAAAAGTGTACAGTTCAAAAGTTTTTGGTCGGTCAGATCTTAAAAATGTCTCTTCTGCTCCTCAAGGCTGCATTTCTTTGAATAAAAATACAGTAAAAACAGTAATATTGTGAAATAATATTACAATTTAAAATAGCTGTTTTCTATGTGAATATATTGAAAACTGTAATTTATTCCTGTGATCAAAGCTGAATTTTCAGCATCATTACTCCAGTCTTCAGTGTCACATGATCCTTCAGAAATCACTCTAATATGATGATCTGATGCTCAAGAAACATTTAAGATTATTATCAATGTTGAAAACAGTTGTGCTGCTTAATATTTCTGTGGAAACATTATACATGTCTTTACTTGGTCAGTTTAATGCATCCTTGCTGTATAAAAGCATGCATTTCTTTCAAAAAATATTTCTGAGCCTAAACTTTTGAACGCTTGTTGCTCTGTTCAGCAGAACCCTTTAGATCAAAACATTTTTAAGGGTATGTGAGAACCATAAATTCTGGTACTCTGGATCATAACAGAGAAAATGGTTGCTATATTCTCAAGGGCAACCAATCCTCTCATCCGGCAAAGTCTCTGAAGTGTTTTTTGTCCCACTCCTCCTTCCTCCACTGGCTCTTCAGGCCCAAACATATCACACTGTGAAGGCTTGAGACTCATCTGAGAAGATTTCTGAACAGTTTGCCTTGGTGTTGACAGTACAATCATCCAATGGCTAAACTCGGCTCATTCACACATGGACGGGGTCGGCACCCTGTTATAGTTTTTATTTGACTCCTCAAGTGCTTTTAACACCATCTGGCCTTCACTTCTGATGGGCAAAAGTTACTGTCAATACAAGTCGAGTCTATTTACGATCCTCAGTCTTCACTTATAACACGTACGTACCTCAGGTCTCTGATTATTGGGTGATTATAGGGTGTATGAGTGAACAGAAAGAGGTGTATTAAAGGGTGTATGTGTACATGTGTCTGATATATTTCCACAACACAGACCCATGTGTTTTTACAGAATAAAAGGTTCTGGGCCAGAAAAACAGCCCGAATCCTTTCTTGTTGCACCTCACAGTTACTTTACATTTATCTCACCTGTCCATCTGGAAAAAAAAAAGATAATATGTGTTACATTCTTTGCATATGTGGATCCATAAAGAGCCGTTAACATCCATGTGACCTTTCCAAACGCAAAATATTCTTTATAGTGGAAAAAGGTTTCTCAGATTGTTAAATGTTCTTCACACTAAGATCTTTTCAGAACTGATCACTGAAAAGTTCTTCTTTGGGCAACTAAAATTATTCTTCTATGGCATCTATTAAGTTGTACAACAACACAGCTAAATATGAATACTATCTAAAGCCAGACTTCTTGTTTTCATATTAGAAGTCAAACATTTTCAGCAAAACATTTCTAAGATTTCATTCTTTTTTTCCTCATTAGCAGGTTTTTATGCTTATTTTTTATTTAATAGCTTATTTTTACAAAGTCATTCCTCTGCTATTTACGTCTTTTATGTAGCTCTGGTCTATAAGTGCCACTGAGAGCTGAATTTCTCCTCTGGGATCTACTACATCTAAGTCGTCAGGCTAATTTATTATATCTTATAAAACACAGCTGTAAGTGTTCAAAATATACAGCAAAACAATGGAGAATCGGAGAGTGTCACCTTCAGACGAACTACTCAGTTATTTTCTTTTTAGGCCTCAGTATTGACAACATTTATACATGCAGTTTCTGTGCAAAATGGATGTATTTTAGATCTTTAGATACTCTTTTTTAATTTAAAGGAAAAGTTACGTGAAAATAAAAGAAGCTTCGAAATTCAAGTTCATGTACAGATAAAAAAAAGTGCTTTTTTGCTCTAAAGGGGTCACAATGAACAGTTGGAAAAGTATGGAAGCTTTTTTCTGCCACTGAATAAAAAATAAAAAAGGTAATTATAACTTTTTATCTCACAATTTAGACATTTTTTCTCGCAATTCTGAGTTTACATCTTTGAATTCTGCCTTTTTTCCTCAGAATTGCATGATATAAACTCGCAATTGTGAGTTATAAAGTCAGAAATGGGTGCTATAAACTTGCAATGGCATGTTATAAAGTCAGAATTGCGTCATATAAACTCGCAGTTGTGAGTTATAAGGTCATTATTGCGACTCGCGAGTAATAATCACATTGTATGTTATAAAGTCAGAAATGGGTGATATAACCTTGCAATGGCATGTTATAAAGTCAGAATTGGGTGATATAAACTTGCAGTTGTGAGTTATAAGGTCATTATTGCGAGTAATAATCACAATTGTATGCTATAAAGTCAGAAATGGGTGATATAAACATGCAATGGCATGTTATAAAGTCAGAATTGGGTGATATAAACTTGCAGTTGTGAGTAATAAGGTCATTATTGCGAGTAATAATCACAATTGTATGCTATAAAGTCAGAAATGGGTGATATAAACTTGCAATGGCATGTTATAAAGTCAGAATTGGGTGATATAAACTTGCAGTTGTGAGTTATAAGGTCATTATTGCGAGTAATAATCACAATTGTATGCTATAAAGTCAGAAATGGGTGATATAAACTTGCAATGGCATGTTATAAAGTCAGAATTGCGTGATATAAACTTGCAGTGACTTGTTATAAAGTCAGAAATGGGTGATATAAACTTGCAATGACGTGTTGTAAAGTCAGAAATGGGTGATATAAACTTGCAGTGACGTGTTGTAAAGTCAGAATTGCGTGATATAAACTCGCAATTGTGAGTTATAAGGTCATTATTGAGAGTAATAATCGCAATTGTCTGTTATAAAGTCAGAAATGGGTGATATAAACTTGCAATGGCATGTTATAAAGTCAGAATTGGGTGATATAAACTTGCAGTTGTGAGTTATAAGGTCATTATTGCGAGTAATAATCACAATTGTATGCTATAAAGTCAGAAATGGGTGATATAAACTTGCAATGGCATGTTATAAAGTCAGAATTGCGTGATATAAACTTGCAGTGACGTGTTATAAAGTCAGAAATGGGTGATATAAACTTGCAGTGACGTGTTGTAAAGTCAGAATTGCGTGATATAAACTCGCAATTGTGAGTTATAAGGTCATTATTGCGAGTAATAATCGCAATTGTGTGTTATAAAGTCAGAAATGGGTGCTATAAACTTGCAATGGCATGTTATAAAGTCAGAATTGCGTGATATAAACTCGCAGTTGTGAGTTATAAGGTCATTATTGCGACTCACGAGTAATAATCACAATTGTATGTTATAAAGTCAGAAATGGCTGATATAAACATGCAATGGCGTGTTGTAAAGTCAGAATTGCGTGATATAAACTCCCAGTTGCGTGTTATAAAGTCAGAAAATCAGAATTGTGAGATAAAAAGTCACTGAAGCTGAATGAAGATCCCAATTTTCTTTTTCTTTTGTGAAAATAAGAAAATAAAATGTTCATTATTGGATAAACTATCCTTTAACATTCCTGGAACAAATGTGCATTTTCACAATCTTATTAAAATACAAACAACTTTAAAACACAGCTAACTGGCTTGCACAATTAAAATGTCATTCAGACAAATGGAATTAACTGAAACCAATAGTGGGATTTTCATTTGGCTGAGAGCCACGCATTCAAACCAGCGCTGACTAATCTCTTCAGAGAAGATTCATCTAAGCAAAACGACACCCAGATGGAGATTAAAAGGTGAAATACACTCGCTTTATGAAGAGCAGGCTGCATGTCTGTTGATTCTTCAGCTTTATACTACACAATAATGTTTGTAAAAGCCAGATGTGCAATAGTGCATTGCCAAAAGATAAGTGCAGGATAATGCATCATTAACAATGTCCTTTAAAGGTCATCTGAGCTTCATGCCGAGAGATCGTTTCCAATGGCTCTCTGGCAGGTGTTGAGTCAGTGGGGAGACACGAGTCCTACCGACTCCGTTCACTAGAAAGAGAACAAACGACTCACAAAGCACAATATCAGTTGAGTCACGCTTTATAAATAGGCCTGACAGCATCTTAGTTAATCCAAATCTCTTTTTCCTTCAGAACCCACGGTTCAGTATCAGCACACAAGAGCTTCAAACGCGGGCCGAGGGAATTATAAGGAGCTGTTCGCTCTTCTCCTGTCAGTCGGCTTTAGAAATTTCGAAGATACAGATTCGGGAAAGATGATTAGAAATGATCGCCTCGGGGAGCGAACGCATACCTCCCACAAACACAACCTCTCTGTCCGTCGTGGTGCGTGAAGAGATATTTTAACACGAGTCACACTGTCTGTTTTAATGACAAAAGCTGCTCTTAATCTAATTCAATGTTTTCATTAGTACCTCATTTATTTCAATATGGGTCAGTGATCACTAGGGGAAATATTTTTTTTACTTAAAAATGTGTACTTTGCGTTTGATAAGTCAAGCATCACTTTCACTACTCCTATAAAAACACTCTAGAATCATTTTTGCATAGACAAGCACCAAAATCTCCATTTTGGTGATGTTGTACTAATATGAGAAAAGGCTCATATTTAATTTCATGCATAATTCTACATCCTGAAGATAGATGATCTGAAATGCAAGGCAAAAGACAGCAACATTAGCCATCGTCTCTTCACTTAAACGTCGAAACAGAATGGGAATTTGAGTGAATCGCATGCTGAGAAGAGATTAAATCCTTCAAGATGAATCATAACGCCCATCAGAACTGTCAGAACGCGTCTCTGTTATTTCTGTGATGATCAAAGACACACAAGATCCCGCTAAAGGATGAAAGCGTAAGACACAAACACGATATTTTGACTTTTTGTATCTCCCATGGCACACACCGAACTCTTAATTTAAGACAACAAGAGTGCTTGAAAAGCATGTAAAGTCCACATGAAATGTCTGCAACCCATAATGTGACGTGCTAGAGCTCTTTAAAGAAAGAAAATGTAGGACAGGACTTGATTTAATCCATCTGGAATTGATTGGATCAAGAAAAGTGGGCATTTTATACTGCGGTTTGCAATGGAAGATCGATTTGACCTTGAAAGCATCTCCTATATCATCCCAATGGTGATGCTTCTTTTTCAAATCAATCATTATCAGTCTATAATATTATTAGTATTAATCTATATTATTTCCGTTAACTATTGTTAAAGATTTTAGAAACCGTGCATCAACTAACAGCAGCCTAAAACGATTGATAGTCCTTGGCTACTGGTTAACATACTGTCAACCAAAAAGAGGCAGAGCGAATTAAAGTGCTTATCAGAATATTACTAAGTATGTGAGTAATATAGCCGTTCGTGAAGATCAAAATGCACGACAAAAAAAAGTTATTGTCTCCTAAAAGAAAGAATCAATTCTGAACTGCTGAAACGAGTCGTCAGCATTTCCAGTCTCACTTCCGCAACATGAAGAAATCAACTAGTTAGTCACGACTGTTTCCCGAAACCATATTGTCGCAAAGTGGTCGTTCAAACACGTTAGTTTAAGACGTCACACACGTGATGGAGTAATAACTTATTTTAATGAAACTGTTTGAGATCGAATTAATGCTTGATGTTTTGATATAAATTACAGACATGGCATCTGAGGAATATTTCTCATTTTTCTCAGTTATTTCGCTTTATTTCCAGATTCAATCATAGACTCGTTCTTACATAGTAGAGCACGTTCGCACATGCGCACTCTTCATAAACTGTGCTTTAAATATCTTGACAGACGTAAATGACATTTGTATGTATTCTAAATAAAGACACAGGTTGCACTGAATGTCAGCTTGCTTATTTTGCTCAAGATAAGGATTTATTAAGTCCAAATGTCATGCAATCTAGAAACTCTGCTTCTAACCACAGCTCGAGATCTGTCACTCCAAACACACACCTCTGCGAATGTTCGTTCGAACGATGGTTTCGGGAAACATCGACTCGTTGAACTGCTGATAACGATGGAACTTGCGACCATACTTGGCTAACGATGCTTTCGGGAAACGCACCCCAGGTTTGTAATGAATTTGCATAATGCCAGTCTATGGTTTTCATTGGCTGCCCGCGAACACTAGTTGCCCCGCCCCCAAACACTAGTTGTAGGTGAGACTGGAAGAATTTGGTTCGTGTTGTCGAGAAGATGCCGTTTTCTGTGCTGGGAATGAAAATAATGAGTATACTCATGCTGGAATTGATACGGTAAAACCAATGCCACCGTTTCCGACTCACACTGTAAGCGAGACCAATCCAATCCCAACAGACTAGGCCATCTGACCAATCAGAGCAGAGCAGGCTCACGGAAAGGAGGGGTTTCGAGACACTGAATCTTCGAACGAACCGTTTCAGACTCTTTGAGAAATGAGGTGATGTGCAATTAGTGCTTTTTTGGACCTTTAATGCATGTACATATTGTAGGAGACTCAAAAATAACATTAGCAAATTTTAAAATAGCATAAAAGGGGCACTTTAATACTTTTAGATTAAAGATTGCACTAATGAATCAAGCTAAATAAGACCAGGAACATGTGTTAAATGGTCCATTTTGATTTCAGGTTGAATTTAAAGACAGAAAAATACGAGCACACACACACTTCACCTCTGTTGTCAGACCCCCTCTATGACACCTTAACCCTGCTGAGAGAACATCTGCAACTTTTTATCTGTCTCTAACAGCCCTAAACGAATGTGTGTTCCTGAATATACCGTCACAGTGACTCTACATTAAACATCAACAAAACAATAAACATTAAAGACAGATGAAATACAGGAGCATTTTTTATAAGAATGCAATGCGATTTTGATGATACCCTTGATTATATTTGACCTACAATCAGATTTCTAAATTAATAAAAATCTATTTGATTATGATTACGAATTCTGATCAAAATCCAGGTTTGTGCTTAAAATGTATATGAGCACAAAAAGCAAACAAAATCTATCTAACCATTAAGAGAATATATCACATTGCATTTTAGAAAAGAAGGAAATCATGACAATCAATTCCCTCAAATATGATTCACCAGCGGCTGCTGCAATTGTTTAATTGTAAAGCATAAATGCACAAAATCATCAAAACCATTAAGCACAAATGACAATTACAGGGAGTCACAAAAAAGGCATTCTATTTAGAATAAATTCCAATAAATTAAAACAGATGGCATGTTATGTTCATTCGTAGCCACATGCTATGTTACATATGTATTAGGCCTATTTAAATATGCAAATGAGCTATATACAGTAGTACATCTAATGTACAAGGGAAGAGTGAAAATGAGACATGACAATGCAAGTGGAATTTTGTTGTTAATGATTGTGCTTCACAATAAGCACATAAGCTAAATGCATGCATCCACTGCATTATTAACTCCCCAAACTGCCTAACAATCAATGCTTTATAGCATAACCTATTTCAAGACTATACATTTTCACATGTGCAAAACCTTCTCTCTCTCCCTCTCTGTCCTAGAAGTGACACCGTGACTTGTGTTCTGTTAATTCTGAGGTTCAAGGTGAATGTTTGCATGGTGACCTATCGGTGGGCTCATTGACCGAATATTTGTCTACTTACATCGTGAAAGATGGACAGTCCGTGGACGGAATCCTGCATCTGGTGCTGCTGCAGTTTGGAGCGGAGATGCTCGCGTTTCGCAGACTGGAGACACATCGTGATCATTTCGGTGCACGCCAACATCTTTAAACGAGCTGATCAAGAATTTAGAAAGAAAATATGCACTTAATGACCCAGATAAATATGCAGATCTCCGAGTGAATGAGATCGGAACTGGTGTGTGAGTAATCTTCTGGACGAATGCTGCTGCTGATGCTGAGGATGGAATACTAGTGAACGCCAAAGAATCGTTCACTTGATCGAATCTGTTCGTTTGAATGATTTGAACGAATCGATTCGAAAAGCGCGTGTGAATTGGTCTGTAAGGGAAATTGGCCTTTTTTTTGGTAATGTTATGTAAATTAGTCTACATAAAGCGGACTGGAAAGGATTTCACATCTATTCTGTACCTGTCATTTGGATTTCGGACCATTTTCTTCCCACTTTCAAAATAGTGGGAAGAAAACATCCGAAATAGACATTTAAATGTTCATTTTATTACACGTTTATCTATTTGCATCTGTAGACTTCAATTAGGCTACAATACATATAGGGTAGGTTGGGGCAAGATGAACATTGACATTGTATTATGTTGAATATTACCGCTTTTTTGTCTATTTGTTGATGGGGGATTTGTGGATTCATCAATGTTTTTGGATTTGTGGGGTAAAAGTTATAGTTTTTATTTAGAAGTAAAAAGATAAAATTAGACCCTTGGGGTAAATCGGCCACCCAGATTTTGCACAGAAGGCAAGTAGTTACTAGTGATATTATTTTGAAATTTAATATTTATTGTAATTAATGGGGTTATTATTCAGTATTTCCATGAGTAAGATGCATATTTCAGACATCTTCGCTTTCATTAAAACCTGTTAGTCGAGTGAAACCATTAAAATTTGCATACTTGCTATTATTACATATCTTCAATTCAAATATGGGCAATTAAATAAGTAAAAATTCATGTCTGTATAATTTTACCTTTCAGATGAATCTCTTTCACTGTGATTCTGCTTTGTCTGTCATCGGTTATTAAATTATTATCAACTAAAGTGTCAAAATAAAATGTTAAATACAACAGTTTCTTTAGTATTTTACTTTATTGACACTTATTTAAATATTTAATATTAATAAGAATGATATCAAAAGTAATTTATACATTCTGTAAAAGTTTATCCAGTAGGGGCCATCTTACCCCTCTTTTAATATTTTACATTTTGTAGGCTAATATAAAAACTAAATTAGCAAATGTTTCTATTTATTTCCTAGTAATACATTAGCTGATGCATCATCATCCAGAACATGCTAAACATTTAGCAGCACTTAGGCTACATGCACAAAACTTTACAATTATATTCCTTTTCATATTCTTCTGAAGGTTTGTATGGCTTTGTTCATATATCATTCGCCTGATTTATATATGAAGACTTCAGATGCAAAAGCTTCTAAGTGCCATCTGCAATTATCTTCTAAAAAGAACATTTTTATCAATCTCGTATATTTAGATTCAGTAATTTCACTTTAATGACAATTAATAGGTCATTTCCATTGCCGTTAAAGTGAAATAACTGAACATAAACATACAAGCTTGATAAAAATGATCATTCTAGAAGAAAATTTCAGATGGCGAGGCTTCAGTCTTCAAAACACTTTTTTCCCCTAAAAACATTGTGTATCCCCCCCCCCCCCCCCCCCCCCCCCCCCCCTTTATGGGAACATGACTGGTAGACAAAACACGAAGAAAAGAATCGATGAACAATTTTAATTGCAACGAATCGTTCGAACGAACCGATTCAGAGGAAGTTCTTCGCGCTGTGTTTCTCCATGGTTTCTCCTCCTCCTCGGATGCTGATTAGTCCAGCAGTAGTTCCATGGACATCACTGCTTTGACTCATTTTTGACTCAAACCTATTTATATCTATCATATTTTATTATATTTTAAAAAAACCTAATAAATAAAATGCCTTTAATGTCATCGAAATTTCATTTAAATCTCCACATATTTACAGTAAAGGGCCACCATTCATTTGGACTTGTCCTGGCAAACAGCGCCATCTCGTGAAAGTGCAGCCATTGAATCATATTAATAAATCCCTTTACCTCTGCTCTTCAGTCTTTATGGGTAATAGTAGCACATTATCCAAAAGCACTGCGCGCGTCACGTGACGGGGTTGCGCAGTGACGTCAATCTGACATGGAGCCAGTGCTGGTGGCGGACGTTTGTTCAACCGGTTGAGATGGAGCAAAGTTTATTTTAACGACGGGAAGATGACCTCAGATCCCGTTAAAACTGAGATCTAGAAACATTTCCCGTGATCATAAGACGGTAAGATATAAGCGACACACGCGTATAGAGGACAATATGAAAGAAAACCAGCCGTGTTTTGATAACGCGCTAGCTTGTTTGACCGGTGACTGACTGACCGTTAGACTGCGTGCGGCTGATGATGGTTTTGACAGCTGTTTGATAAATGTACGTAGTTAATAGTCTGAAACGAATAAAAACTATCCGTTATCGGTTTCAAACAGATATATGCATTTCATTGACTTGTAAACGGTCGTTTTTGTAGCTGCGACACCGTCAGAAAACGCTACGTGACGTCACTTCTGTAATGCCCTCATTAGTTCTGTGACAGTATCATCATAATAATAATACAGTATAAAAGTGTCATATGATACCATGGTACATGGTACTGCCACGATATTTGTATGCTACACAAAGCTAACGTTACTTCCAGGAATACAATGGAACTGTTATATAATTTCTGTGGTATATATGTCAAAGTACCTTGATATTACCATGTGATATCATCTCTGTACCGTGGTAAAACCACAGTGCTTTTGTAAGTGTGTGAAATCAAATGTTTTTGTACCAACTGTTAAGGCAAGACACCACAGGGTATAATGGTAATGGATAGCACCATACTTCTCCAGTTAATTATTCACGCTACATTAAAACAATTGTTTTATGTTACAAGGTTTCTGAAATGTTATGTTTAAATATGCATATTATACATTGTCTAATTAAATGTGCACTAATTTGCATACATTTCCAGATAAAGTCATGTTCAAAATTTGTTTCATTTGGTCGATTATAGAGTTTTTCCACCTTGTTTTAGGAATAAAATGTCATGTAAACCTGTTAAATGATACAAACGCAAGCGGACAATGTGTAATAAAATAAACACTTAAAGGTGTATATTAGATGGAAGCAAAATAGCCCAAAATCTCACAATTGACCAGTGCATGAAAAAAAAAAACATTGTAGTGTCTTATCTTAAAAGTAAAACCACAGTTCACAACAGTATATACATTTGTGAACTATTCAAATCAAATAGTTGATTTTTATGAAGTGCTTAACTTAATGTGGCTGACTAATCTCTGACAGTGTGCAGATGTGAGCTTTTAATGCGCTTGGAGGCATTAAAGATGGTTTAGAGGAATATCAAACCTGTTATAATGAGTAATAGGAATGGATGACGTTTTATGTTCTTATCGGAGTTTGACAGCCTCAGTAGCCATTAACTTTCATTGTATTGGAAAGAGCAGAAAGAACCTTTTCCTTTTGTGTTAAATAGCCTAGAATATGAAGGTCATACAGGTTTGGATTTGAAAACGATGTCTGGATGAGTAAATAATGACAGGCCTTTTGTTTTCGGGTGAAAGTCTAGCCTTAATCTCTGTTTATCAGTGCTTTCTCTCAGTGGAGACGGAGAGACTCATTCCCTGTAGTGACTGAGAAACATGGTCTGCCCTTGAATTACATCATCTGTAATCTGCCAAGGATTACTGGAGACTTCGGTTGTGAGATTAGCTGTTACCGCAGGGAGGTGTTGAAGACACAACTACGCCATACATCACACACCATTACTAAACGACATACAGCACTGATCAGGGGTCAGGTGTGTCTATACAGTGCATTTGGTGACCGATCAACCAGAAAAAAAAACATTTTAGAAAGAGAGTTAGTCAACATGAAAGCATATCCGGTTTCGCTTAGAAATGTCACACATTACAGAAGGAAAATGGCTTTGAATGTTGTATTATGACCTTTTCCACTATTTACTACCGTCCCAGTTGACATGTTCTTGTTATAATCATGAGACTTAACCGAATTAATCAGTCTACATTCATTTAAACCAAAAATTATTCAGACACCAGATATAATTTTTTATATGTTTTACTAGTGTGTGCAGGACACTATAGTTCATTTTTGTAAGTGAGGAGAGCAAAATAAAGTAAACTGTGACATATTATACCCAATAATTTTTCATACAGTGACTACCAGTAAAATTTGGGACCAAAAATTAATCGGACACTTTGACCTGATCATGTGTTTTCTGTAATTGCTAATGCTCTTTTTACACACAGACTGAACAACATGAAGCATTGCTTGGTCACTGGTTGAGCTAAACTGGTATTATCTAATTGTGTAGTTAAGTTTAACAGCTGACAGATATTCAACATAATTCATGTGTGAGAGTCTAACCGAAGGACGGACAAAACCAGTCAAATATCAACTGATTTAATAACTCTGAGTTCTGCTCATATTTTATCACTATTTTCTAAACTATAGCGAATAAACTGAGATAATGTGAGAGATCTGAATAAATTTTGGTTTGACTGTATATGCTTATTTGTTTATTTCAGATTTGAGCCTTTTAATGGCCGCATCATGAAGTCTCAACTTCAGATAACAGGTGAGCTAAAGTGATAATCTCTATTTTGTAATTGCAAGACTTCACAATTGTAATTTGGGTTGCACACATACATTGCAGTGTAGCGCTTTTTCATTTTGAAATGTCATTATTTTAAGATGTCAGCTATCTGGATATTTGCTGTCATGTCTTCAGATGAATACTTTGAATAGATCTGTGATTACATTTGTTATCTTTGGTTAGTTCTGTCCGCTAAGCTGCGGGACAGTAAGAAGAATTGGTTTGGGCCCAGTCCTTACGTGGAGGTGTGTGTGGACGGCCAGTCCAAGAAGACGGAGAAATGCACCAACACTCACAGTCCCAAATGGAAACAGTCTCTCACTGTGTAAGAGAGACATATGAACTAAAACGAGTGACCGTTGAGTTACAGAGCTGATCCAGAATCAGTATTTATCATCGTTATATTGTTCGGTGACACTTTACAATAAGGTTCTGTTTGTTAACATTAGTTAAATACATTAGTTAACATGAAAAATACTCTTAATAATCTTTAATTTTTAATTTCAACATTTACTAATTCATTAGCAAAATTGAAAATATCTGTTAACATTATTTCTTGGACTTGAACTAACAATATTTTTATTTTTATTAACTAACATAAACAAAGAGTACTAAATACTTTAACAAATGCATTGCTCATTGTTAATGCATCAACTAACGTTAACTAATGGGACCTAATTGTAAAGTGTTGCCTATTGTTCTGATCTCTCTCTCCAGACTAAACGTGTATGTTGTAATTCACATAACTAAATTTTTAAAGTGTAATGACTATTTCAGTCAGTGTTATTCTAGTATTTTTGATATACCATTATAGTATTTATTCATAATTTTATAAGTTAATAATAAGTTTTATTAATTTTTATATACGTTTTTTTGTGTTTAGATTTATTAGATTGTATTTATTTTTATTTTAGTTTTTAGTAATTTTAGTACTTTAACAAACTTATTTTTTTCATTTAGTTTCCAAGTGTTTTTTTATCTAATATTTATATATTATTTATATCTTGACTGCTCGCTCAGTGCACTTGAGATTTTATAGATTACATAATACATGATTTATTGATACATAAAAGTGTAGTGAATTTTTTTTCTTCTTTGGTTTGTCTTATATATTCTCATTATTTTATTTGAAATAAAATGCATAAAAATATGGCCTGATTGTTAGCAGTTGAATTATGGAATATAAAACTTTTAAGTCAGCTTTATTTCAATAATTTTTAATAGATTTAGTTAACAGTAACATCACTGCTCTGTTGATCATATTCCCCGCAGGATCGTCAGCCCTTTCAGCAAGTTAATTTTCCGGGTTTGGAGTCACCAGACACTTAAAGCCGACATTTTGCTGGGGTTGGCCACTCTGGAGGTCAGCGAGACCTTAAAAGCCAACAATATGAAGAGTGAGTTTCCATATTCTTCCTTTTGTGAAGCTCATTATTCAGAGTCAGGCCTGTTTAGTGTGTGTGTGTGCGTGTGTGTGCACTCAAGAGTTAAAGAAATAAAGAAAGAGGCAGGTGAACTGACTCATAGTATCAAACAAAGGTTTTTTTCAGAGACTTTGGTCATGTGTGTGTGACCGCTCACCGCTGATATGAATTATAGAACTGAAGATTGAGTTGAGGGTGTTGATTGTCCTGGAACCAGGTTACCATTTTCTTTTCCTGTGACCTGAAGTGATGCTGTGAGCTTTCTTAGTGAAGCCAATTTAGCTTTCCAGGTCATCTGTGAATATGATTTACCCTGTTTTAATCTTTAAAAGCTTATATTTAATCTGCTTGATATTGAACTTTTGGTAAAACATGCTACCAAGCCTTAATGATGTTGGTTTATTTTATGAATAATTTCAATCAATTCATGACTCGGTGTGAACGAGTCATTTGTCATTTCAAATGCCATTTCAAGCCATGGTCAAAAAGTGTTGGTACTGCTTTTATGGGCTGTTAATATACATTTTTCAGTTCTGTAAGCAGTGCTATGTTGAAGATCATGTGTGTTTGTGTGTCTCAGTTTCTGAGGTTGTGCAGACGTTGCAGTTGAGTTCAGACAGAGTGCGATCGGAGGTGGTTGGAGATCTCTCAGTGTGTTTGGATGGACTACAGATGGATCCCGAGACTTTTGCTTCAGAGGAACAAAAGCACAGTGAGACTTTCTTTATCTCTGCTGTTTTTCTGGTATACCGTAAGCACTGATGTCTACGGAAGCGATCAAAATAGAATAATTTACCTTCTGAAAGTAACATGGCACTTCAAATATAGGCACTGATAAAAATAAATTTGTCATTTAATCAAGAGATTTGTTAAAAAAAAAAACGCTGATTCATCCAGTAATGAAACTAGTAAAGTCATTGAATCATTCATTCAATCCGATAAAAAAACCCCATTAATTCAGATTAAATAGACATTTTAAATAGACTGTAGTAATTAACATTTTGTCAGAACCTCTAAAAAAATTACATTATTTTGTTTAGTCGTCTGCACAGAATCGTGGGAGAATCTTGATCTCGGTTTGAGTCGTGCAGCTCTAATTCTTTGCTGTTTAAAATGGAGATTTGTGTAATGTTGTTGTTTCTCTGCAATCACAGATTCGGCTGTAAATGGAGAACCCATACAGAACGGGGATGTAGCAGGGAGGTAAAATAAAGATTACTCAACTCTACTGTGAAGTTTCTGATGAAATATTGCCACATTTATGTGCAGAGCTTGTATCTTTCTTTGCTTTTGTTTGAATTCTTGATTAAATTAGTTCTCGAGGGAAATATCTTGATTGCTCACTCAGTGCATTTTATAGATCATCATAAAACAGGATTTATAAATATTTTCCTTCTTTAGTTTATATACTCATTTATATTCTCATTATTTTGGTTTAAATAATATGCATTAAAATATGGCCAGATTATTGAATGTTAGCGGTTGATTTGTGGAATATAAAAAAATTGTCAGGCTCATAAAACAGAGAGTGTTCTAACTGTTAAAAAAATGTAATGTACTTTTAGCCCATTTCCTTTATATTATGAATGACACCTATTGATGTTAAACAGATATTGTATAAGTTGAAAATCACACTTTGCAATAAGGTTTCATTTGTTAACATGAACTAACAATGAACAGTACTTCTAAAGCATTTATCTTAGCTAATGTTAATATCAACATTTAGTAATAAGATCAAAAATTGTATCTGTTAACATTTAGCGAATGCACAGTGAACTTACATGAATATGAACATTTTTATTTAGTAACATTAACAAAGGTTAATAAATGCCATTATGGTTAGATCGTGTTAGTTAATGCATTAACTAAAGTTAACAAATGAGACCTTTTTGTAATGTGTTACCGTTTTTGCTTTGCTATTTATTTTACGCTAATTGAATTTTGATAGTTGTCTCTGTTTGTTGTTGGTCTAGTCGAGATTCGTCCCCATCCAGTGACATCACTGATGAAGCGCCGCTGTCCAATGGTCATGCAGTGGGAAGTACTGAGTCTTCCTCTCCATCCGCAGGGGCTCTGAGACCACCGCGTCCATCTCGACCTCAGCGACCGCCTCCTGCCTCGGCACATAAACACACTTCCTCCACAGGTAGAGAACCTTATCAATAGGGGTGTAACAATATGGTGTCACATGTGTGATGCTATTTTGTTTTGGAGTCTCCTACAATATGTTTACATTAGGGGTGTAACGGTTCACAAAATTCATGGTTCGGTTCGATACGATACACTTGTGTCACGGTTCGGTACGTTTTCGATACAGCAAAAAGAAAGAAATGCCAGAGAAATTTCCTTGATTTAATTTTTTTAATTATATTTTTATTAAAACTAACATCATAAAGTATGATATTTTTTTACTTTGAGCAATGATGGAGCTATACTTGACTTTTCTTAGGAGCTTATAAAACAAAACAGCTCCTTGGACAAAATGAAATGTAATATTGTAGTAATTATAAACAAAGGTTAATTTTAGTTCAGATTAACATTTGATAGCAGCATTTGATGGCAGCAATTCATAATGTTTCATAAATAATAAAACCAACGTAATGTTACTTGAAAGCATTATAGCCTACTGTTCCTGCCAAACTTCCATGGTTACAGTTAGTAGTGTTACTACAGTAAACCCATGGTGAATGTTGCTGATCTGTGGACACTGGATAGTTCATTCATGGCACAATGTTTCTTCCTGGTTTCCACGTCAGCGCTGTTTGATCCGTTAATAACGGAGAAATGTGAATGTTTCTCACTAGATCTCGCAGCGATGTTATCACTTCAGTGGCGAATTCAAAATTTTTCTTTACTGGATTTGGCTGTGTAGTAACAGTGCTGATGATCAAGATCGGCTCGCGCTGCATTGGTCCACACTGATAAACGGTCCTTCAACCACACAATAACGAGTAGCTCAGTTTCGTTCCGCTTACATTACATTTGCCATTTGATGTTGGGCAATGTTGTGGTCACGCCAGCGTCTCTTACATTATGAGCGCGCTTGCCACGCGAGACGCGCCTACATTTGAAATAACGAAATTTTGGTGGGCAGGAAAAATGGTCCAACGAACCGTTCGGTTTAAAAATGAGTACCGAAAACCGAACCGAAAGCCTCGTACCGAACGGTTCAATACGAATACGTGTATCGTTACACCCCTAGTTTACATGCATCCGAGGTCAAAAAACACATTAATTTTCTCATAATATACACTGCAGCATCAGCTTTTTTTATCACAGTGTCCGAAACGCTTCGATAAAGGATTCAGTCTCTCTAAATCCCACCTTTCCGTGAGCGGACTCTGCTCTGATTGGTCAAATGGTCCAGTCTGTTGTGATTGATCTACTCTGCTCTGATTGGTCTGATGGCCCAGTTTGTTATGATTGGTTGATACAGCGTGGGTCAACGTGGACATTGTTCAATGAAGACCACAGGCTGGCATTTTGCAAATTTGTTTCAAACCTACCTAGGTTTGTAACATGTTGTGGGGGGGCAGACAGTAACTCCATTTATCTGCACTTTGATATTTAAAACTTTGCAGACATGTTACATTCACAAACAGCTGTACTACACACTACATGAAATGTCCTATCTGAAAAAACATAGTACTGGCACTTTAAGGCAAAGTTCCCTACCTATTGGTTTTTTAGCATCCTCTGCTGGCTCTACTCCCACACACGGCAGCAGAGCTCCCAGCCCGGAGGCGTCTCCACGAGTGTGTGTGAACGGAGAAACGGAGAGTCAAGGGTCAAGCTCAGGTTCAGGGTCAAATCAGGCCCCCAGTGCCAGTCCAACACCACCCGTAGCTTCGCTAATCAATAGCAGCCCTCTTCCTCCTGGGTATGTGACATCAAAAACCTTTCTACTTTTTTAGTTTAGATGAATTATTTTCTAATGTTCTTGCTATGGTTAGCTCACAGTGACAGAAATGTTCTCATATTTCACCACTGATAAGAGCTTATGCTCCTGCTGCATGTCAGAATGAATAAATTAATGTAAATAAAGACACTTTGTTATAATAATAAGCCTGAATGGATTTAGTCTCATATGTTTAATGGAATTTCTTTTTGTGTGGTGTAGCTGGGAGCAGAGAATGGATCAGAACGGCCGTGTTTACTATGTGGATCATATTGAGAAAAGAACCACATGGGAAAGACCAGAACCGCTACCACCGGGGTAACCATTGATGCAGAGATGCTTTTATGTAAAGCAGAAAATGTCTGACTGATTTAGTCATTATGCCCCTTTACTTATTGAAGTTTGATAAGCTCCCAAACATTCAAGAGCATCTGAAAACGGCATTTAAGCTGGCTTTCCATTAATATATTTTAAGCGTCCTTGGGTATTGTTTTTTTTTTATTGACTTTTTGGTCACACTTTACAATAAGGTTCATTAGTTAACTTTAGTTAATGTATTAACTAACATGAGCTAACAATGAGCAATACATTTGTTACTATATTAGTTAATCTTTGTTAATGTTAATAAAAATACAGATGTTCTATGCTAGTTCATAGTACATTAACTAATGTTAACAAATACAACCTTTGATTTTAATAATGTATTAGTATATGTTGAAATTAATATTACCGTAACTAAGATTAATAAACGCTGTAGAAGTATTGTTCATTCTTAGTTCGTGTTAACTAAGGTAGTTAACTAATGGACTTTATTGTAAAGTGTTACTGACTGACTTTTTTAATAAAATGCCATTTTTTTAATGCTTTTTTATTTTCTGACCTGTGAAACCCTTTTAGCTGCATTTTATGTATGAAAGATTAATGTTACTACTACTACTACTAATAATAATAATAATAGCCTACCGGTACTTATTATTTGTTGTTGTTGTTGGTATCAGAAATCATCCAAGGTTTTGGATGAAAAACAAAGCAGTTGTTTAGAGAATTGTGTGTGTTTGTTGGGTAGTTGGGAGCGTCGCTTGGACCCGATGGGCCGTGTGTACTATGTGGATCATATAATCAGAACCACCACATGGCAAAGACCCACACTAGAGTCGGTCCGAAACTACGAGGAGTGGCAGAACCAGCGCAGTCAGCTGCAGGGAGCCATGCACCGCTTCAACCAGAGATTCATCTATGGCGTGAGTAAATATGTCAAAGATAATGGACATCAACTTTTTTCAAGCAATTTTAAATGAAAAGATGCCAGGATTTCCTCTATGACCCGAGCTGAGGGTATTTCATCTGTCCTTATTCCTTCTGTCTGCTCATCTCTGCAGCAGCAGGAACAGCTTGTGCCTGCAGCTAATAAAGAGTTTGACCCTCTGGGTCCTCTGCCGGCGGGATGGGGTGAGTCATTTTTATACTGCAGAAAGAAGAAATCACATTTTCCTCTCATAATAGAGTGGCTCAATCTGTCTTTTCTTGTGTATCACCCTCAACTCCCTGCTTGTGTGTTGTTTGGCTCACAGAGAAACGGACAGACAGTAATAGGAGGATGTATTTTGTTCATCATCCTACGAGATCCACGCAATGGGAGGATCCTCGCACACAAGGGTGGGACAAAATCACAACCAAAGCCACTGTTATTTTAGTATTTTTCGTTTTTTAATTAGAGCTGCACGATTAGTCGTCAAAAGATGGCGATCTCGATTCAAAAACCCACGCAAACTTATTTCTAAATGACAGTGATTCGCCTCTGTCTATTAAACCTTTGACAAAATCATACCGGAGCATATAAAAGTTTATATTTCAGATATAAATAGAACAGATAAACATATAAATAGAGCAAATCACCTTTTAAAAGTAACAAGATGCTTCAAAAAATTCTTGTATCGATTACATAGTTACGTCAGTAAGTGGTGGCAAGTGACTGTTAAAAATGTATTTGTCATTGAAACATTTATTAGTCTATTATTCTATTAGTAAAAAAAAATAAAGTTATTCTCAATTTATCCACAATCGTGAAGCTCTTTTTTTTTCATATTAGCTGTTATTTTTCACTTTTTGTTTTTGTTATGTCCTTTTGACATTTTTTTAATTACTATTTTGTTTTAATTTTTTTCAGTTTTAGTTTTTGTTTATTTTATTTAGTTTTTAGTTTAGTTATTTTAGTTTGTTTTTATCAGTTAGTAATTTTAGTTCCTAATCTTAACCCTATTTCAGTTAGTTGCCAAGGCAATATTTCTAATTTTAAGTTTTTCATCTAATATGTATATTTTATTTTTCATTTCAGCTTTACTTTTTCAATTAACAAAAATGTTTTTAATAAGTTTTAGTTAACGACAATAACCCTGAACACAGCTAAATTGCCTCCCTGCTATATGATATTATTATTTGATGTAAAACTTCACAGAATAAGCTGACAAGGAGAATTATTGCTTGAATGAAATGTTTTTGTTTGTCAGGTTGTTGAATGAGAAGCCTTTGCCGGAGGGTTGGGAGATGAGGTTTACGGTGGACGGGATTCCCTATTTCGTCGATCACAACAGGAAAACGACGACATATATCGACCCTCGTACAGGAAAATCCTCCCTGTAAGCCCTTTTAATAGCTTAATATAGGAAGAGAATGTCTTTTGTGACCTGTCGCTGTGTTTGTAGATGTTCATAATGAAAGCATAGACAGTGTTGTTCCTGTCTTAGGATACAAATATGTTCACTTTGAAATAGAAATATGTTACATAAGTCAAATGCGGTTTAATACAATTAAAAGTTTCATGTTGTTTTTAAACAATATTGTCTGTTGATGTATTACAGCCAGGTTTTGGTGTAGTTTTACAGTCTGTTTCTGTCTTTGTGAACCTGCAGTGAGAACGGCCCTCAGATCACATACGTACGAGACTTTAAAGCCAAAGTGCACTATTTCCGCTTCTGGTGTCAGGTAAGACCGAGTGACTTCAGTTACAAACTCTATTTTTTAGTCGCTTTGACACTAAGGGCCCTATCTTGCACTCGGCGCAAATGACTTTGTACACTGACGCATGTATCATTCCTATTTTGCACCCGCGCAAAGCGGACTTTTCCCTCCACAGACGCACGTCGGTTAACTAAGAAATACACTTGCGCTCCCCGGGGCGGTTCAGCGCAAAGAGGAGGCGTGTTCCGGCGCAAACTTTCCCTCATGCTATTTTGCTGTTCTATAAAACAATTGCGCCACTGACCAGAAAAAACTAGTCTAAAGTCAGTGGCGCGTTGCGCGTTGTTCATTATGCTATTTTAAGGGCGCATGCTTGGCCATAATCAATGTAGCGTGTGCACAACGCGCATACACTCTGATTCTCTCATCTAAGCAGCAGTTTTCATTTTTGCAAATCATACATTATTACGATAGATAGATAGATAGATAGATAGATAGATAGATAGATAGATAGATAGATAGACAATTTATTATAAAAGCATACATGTAGCTTACACATTTACCCAAATTATCATACGCCTGTTTAACAGAAGTTAATTTGGGTGTGTTTCTCTGTGTTTTACGGCCCTATCTATCTATCTATCTATCTATCTATCTATCTATCTATCTATCTATCTATCTATCTATCTATCTATCTATCTATCTATCTATCTATCTATCTATCTATCTATCTATCTATCTATCTATCTATAGGCAAGACAAGTAGTTTGTTTAGGCATGGTTTGTTGGGAAATTACAAACCTGCGCACACATATTCAAACGAATATAACTATAGAATCAATTTTTAATGCGCATGTGAACGCCATCAGGTCACAGGTTCACGTTTAAAGTCTATTTGGAGAGAACGCCATCGTCTTAGTGGCCCCTAATGTAATAACAAATGATAATTTTGCTGGCAGTGAATCAATCAAAACCAACTTTAGCTGGAAATAACATTATTCAAAAATCGCTATAAAGCCAAAACAATCTCTGTTACCGTAAATTATATGTTTATCTCTGTAAAGCTACTTTGAAACAATCTCCATTGTTAAAAGCGCTATATAAATGAAGATGACTTGACTTGACTTGACTGACGAGAACGTTGCTCTCCTCGGCTGTGAACCGCTCCTGGCGCGCGCCTGGCAAATCCGCCGGTATAATAGGAATCCGCTTTAGAACAAGCGTGCCTGCTCTTAAAGGGAATGTGAGATGACGCTCTGATTGGTTTATTTCACGTTACGCCCAAACCACACCTATGAATAATGAAGCTACTTCAGACCAACCCCTTTTAGATTTGCGCCTGGCGCAAGAGGCATTTATCCCGCCGGGAAAATAGCAACAGCGCAGGGATCCGCCCACAAAGTTACTTGCGCTTTGCGCTGTGACACTTGCGTTTCAGATCGTTAAAATAGGGCCCTAAATCTTCATAAAATTATCTGGATTTTGTTAAAAACCTGCTACTGTTCTTTCATTAGGGTTATAAATGTTTCATTCAAATTTTGTATTACTTCGGTTTAATCAGCAAAACACTATAATGAACAGAACAAATGTTGTCATTTTAATTATTGGTAATTCAGTAGCAGGCAATGCAAGAAACTTGTTGCAGTAATGTCAGTGAGGATTGTTTAAAAACGTGATTAAATAATGTAATATATCATTAATTTTCATATATATACTGTATATATATATATATATAACAGGGCAATATTTGCACATGTGATTGATTGATTTAAATGATCCTTTTAATACCATAGCAACTAGCAATGCCTCAGCACATCAAGATCCACGTCAGTCGCAAAACACTGTTCGAGGACTCATTTCAACAGGTGAATTACATATTTTTTATATTTGACAATTCAATTATGGGTTACGTGTGTCATCATGTGGCATGTAGAAAGAAATTAAATATTTGTAATTTGATCTGTTTAGATTATGAGTTGCCATCCACAAGATCTGAGACGGAGATTGTGGATTATTTTCCCAGGAGAGGAGGGTCTTGATTATGGAGGCGTGGCAAGGTATATTACATAATTTACAGGAAGTGATGACTTGAGTTGATATATGCGCACACGCACAATAATGTTGTGTGTTTCTGTCATAGGGAATGGTTCTTCCTGCTCTCCCACGAGGTCTTGAACCCCATGTACTGTCTGTTCGAATATGCCGGCAAAGACAACTACTGCCTGCAGATTAACCCCGCGTCCTCCATCAACCCCGATCACCTCAAGTACTTCAAGTTCATTGGCCGGTTCATTGCAATGGTATGACGCTTGAGTCATGTTGATGACCATACTGGACAGACTGAAGGATCATAGTTTGGAATTCAATTAAAATGTCTGAATATTAATTGTGCATTCTCTTTCTCTCATAGGCTCTCTTTCATGGAAAGTTCATAGACACAGGCTTCTCTCTGCCCTTTTATAAGCGCATCCTGAATAAACCTCTGGCTCTGAAAGACCTGGAGTCCATCGACCCGGAGTTTTACAACTCGCTCATCTGGATCAAGTGAGTGAGGATGAGTTGAATGAGTTACAGAGACGATAAGAAACATACGTAAAGGCTTGTGGATTTAAACTGTGAAAATAAGGGATAGGAGTTATAAGAAAATTAACAATCCCAGTGACTGCTCTTAATTACGAAACAAAAACAGTGCTATTTTTGATCATGTATTTTTGTATGTAATTTGACAATGGTTGGAGATAATGATGTTTTTTCTATAGGGATAATAATATAGAGGAATGTTGCTTGGAGATGTTTTTCTCGGTGGATAAAGAGATTCTGGGAGAGGTCACCACTCATGAACTCAAACCTGATGGAGGAAACATTCAGGTGACCGAGGAAAATAAAGAGGAGTATATCAGGTAGGAAATCTCATTCATAGTGCATAGATGAATTATATATATATATATATATATATATATATATATATATATATATATATATTCGATTATGTAAATATATAAATAATAATTTAATATATCGTTGTGTTAGGCGGAAACCTTGTATCTCCAAAAATGCTACTTTTCAGAAAATGAAAAAAACGTAATTTTTTAAAATTAATTAAACTGCATTGTCAAAGTTGATATTGTGGCTTTATATATGGTCAGACATTTGCACGAGTTCTTATATTATTAACATTTTACCAGTGAATTTCTGCGATTTTTAGGACGTGTTTTGTCAATCATTAGAACAGTCGCATCCGAGTTAGTAAGTGCATTGTGTTACGTTTTCATCGGCTTACGGGTTATAATGTTTACTGTAGCTATGTGGCCATTCGTTTTTTCTGTCATTTGTCCAAAATCTCATGTTATTAAAGATGAAGTGCTACTACACACAGGCTATTTAAGGCAGTATTGGCAATGGCTCAATGACGGTCTTCTCCGCTCCTCAAATACATAAAGCATTAGCCTTTTATATATATTAGTGCTGGGCCGTTATCGGCGTTAACGTGCTGCGTTAACGTAAGACTCTTATCGGGCGATAAAAAAAATATCGCCGTTAATCAAAGTTGGGTTGGGATCATAAATAGCTTTTTCGAATATCGCTATATTTTTAGCGCAATTCTAATGTGTAGTATGACGCCGCGCCTACTGTCACAGATCGCGCAGTAGGGTATTTTCCTGTCAGGGACACAAGGTGTACTTTTACTTTGTTACGTTGGGCGACGTTCCTCTCGTTACTTTATTTTAATGCAATACGTTGTTAAATGAGTTTATTCCAAGCGCGCTGTGTCCTTTGTATGGGCATGAGCGATGCTCATTTACAAATGAATCACTCTTTTGAGTCGATTCTGTTCAAAGACTTCATCAAACAAGTTGTCAGATGATCTGTCTAAATCGGTTTGCGAATCAGTTGATCTGTTCAGTTCCTCGCGCACTGAATCGTCTGAAGCGCTTTCAATTCACACTCGGAGTCGAAACAGAAAGATTTAAGAGCATCAAGACCGTTGGATGAAGTGGCCGTGGATCTACAGTACAGTCTAGTGAAAGCAAATCTGCAAATGCATCATATTTTTGCCAGCGATGAAGATCTTTATTAGTTGAACATCTTCGTAAGCTGTCTGTGAATGAATGATTCCACAGGACGATACATTCGATTTCATTTCATTCAGGTAATACATTGTGTGTGTATTGCGCGTGTATTGCGCAGTGGCATAATCACACGAATAGTTTACCTTGATTGAAACTAATTTGTTTAAAAATGAGGCTATTGCAGTAACATGGCAGGTTCACATAAAATTCTTATGACATATGATGACATTATTTTTTGCAAAAACGGACTGTCGTGCGTATTGTTTTTTTTCTTCTTCCAATTAGCCTACTATGTTAAAAAAAAGGATGAAAACATGTTACTTGTTCAATTAATAAACAGTTTGTTTGATGACAAATCGCTAAAGATGAAATTGGCCTCCCTTTCTGTCATTGCGTTTTTTTTTATTGTTTTTTTTTAACGATATTCGACTTTTGCTCCTCGATTTTTGAATGGCATTTTTGGCAGAAATGCACATCCCTACGCGAGGCAAACTATTCTCAAAGACTTACTTTTAGTCATTATTTGGGTAGCACACATATTCTGAATGCCTTCGGGAGAATTCAAATGAGCCATTTTAATCTAGAATAATCTAGATTAATTTCAATATTAATCTAGATTAATCTAGATTAAAAAATTAATCTATGCCCACCTCTAATATATATATATATATAAGGCTAATGTTTTATGTATTTGAGGAGCGTAGAACATCGGTTCCCAACAGGAGGGTCGCGGCCCACAAGGGGGCCTCAGCGAACTCTGTGGGGGGTCGCGTCATATTTTGAAAGGTTTGACCAATGAGCATTAAATAAAAGTCCTTAACTTTTTTCTGTTCAAAATATACAAAATGTATATAATGAGCGAGTTCATCATGAATCCATTTTCCAATCCGTGTTTTTGTCTTATCCTGAACCACTATGGGACACCTATAATAAGTGTTTACTTTGGGACTATTTTACACTGGTTCGGATCGCTGCGGAGTAGCCCTGTGCCTGCGTGACTCGTCATAGACGTACACAGAGAGAAGTAGTTCCGGCTACAATGTTCTTCCGAAAGACGCATTATTCTGTTAATAAACGCAAGTTTATTATCGCTTGCTAAAGCGCCAAAAGCGTAAAAAATAAAGCCTCACATTGATAAAGCCTCACAAATAACATGCCAGTATTGAGGCCCCAGACAACAGTCATTTAGTAAAAGCCTATATTCTTTCTTTTTTTTACCTACACACCAGTATGAATATTTTTGTTTTTGCATTTCAAATAGGGCCAATATATAGGCTTCTCCTAGGCTTACGTTTTTAAATTACAAAGGGCCTACTGATGTTTTTGTTATTGTATTTTCAATATTATAGGCTATTATTTGTGCATAAACATACCGTTTGTTTGGAAAAAAAAACATATTTTGTCATCCTTGCTGCAAGCTTACAAGAGCGATAATATCATTAAATGTGAAGGGGGGCCCTAAAATATTTTCTTGGGAAAAAGGGGGTCTCAGACAAAAAAAGGTTGGGAACCACTGGCGTAGAAGATATATATATATATATATATATATATATATATATAGTGTTTCTTGAGTAAAAAATGCTGTACTTATTCAAAGTTCCAGTTCTTTATTCACCTGCAACACGCACACTCCAAACTGTGTGTTATAGTAATGATTTTGTAGATACAACCCAACAGTGACTATATATATATATATATGTATATTAAAAATATTGTTAGCCACTAGGACTGTAAAAATATCTAATGAAAATTCAAAGTATTGATGTGGTATTGATTAATTTTCCCTCTTCTTCAGCATATTTTGAAAATAATTATGAATTTCACCAAAGTAATCAAAACAATTTCAGATTGCATGATGCATTGCATCATTTTGTAAAGAATCTTTTCGCAGAGCAAATAGTTATGCCCCTGTTAGCGCTAATATCAGTGACTGATTGTGAAATCCACCGTGTGACAGGTTGGTTGCTGAGTGGAGGTTGTCCAGAGGTGTTGAGGAACAAACTCAGGCGTTCCTCGAGGGCTTTAATGAGGTCTTGCCACAGCAGTACCTGCAATACTTTGATGCCAAGGAACTGGAGGTACAAACTACAACTCATAATGTTCAATGCACATTTAACATTTACTGTAATTCCTCAAATAAAAGCCGGGGCCTTTATTTACCTAAACTGCAGAACGTAACCGGCTTTTATTTGAAGCAGGCTTTTATTAGAGGCAGGCCTTTATTTAAAAAAAAATCAAAATCAAATTTCCGTCTGGGTTCCATATGCTCCTCAAGACAATTTCGTTTTCAATAAAGTTGTTGAAAAGACCGTTATACTTACTAGCAGCACTAAATGATATCTGTGTTACATCTATTGTCTACTACCATCTATTGGCTGTACGTTACGATGAACTTGAATGCCATTAGGGATGTTTACACCTGGCCACTTCATGCGTTTTCTCAGATCGGAAAGCTGTCTGATTTATCAAAACACTTCTACTTAAATCTGCTCACAAATGTATTTTCGCAAAACGGATATAAATCGCGCTATGCGCATATTTAATGGAGTTCAGGCAACCGAAAGCAACAGCTAGAGCTGCTGCATTTGATAGATCAGCTAATTTCAGAATCAAAAGACCGCAATAAGAGAGCGCGGCAACAGCCCTGGTAAGATAATTTCGTTTCTTTACTTTTAATGATGAGGAGTATTGTCTGCGACTTACTTTCACTTTAATTTGCAATAGTTTGCACGTTTGCTTTATGAATAGATATGCCGTGATGCGTGTTGCAGTAGCGTTGTCACTCACAACTTGCTATAACATTACATAGCCTATAACACGCTCTCACACATTTATTTCTTAGCGTTTTTGGGAGGAGTAAAATTTAGATACGTGGTTTCAACAATCAGATGCATTTGATTTACACTTGTGCAGTTTCGTCTGGAATCTCGTCTCAGATCTCCTCCTGAAGAAGTGGTTTGAGTGATCGGCTTTAAATCGTCTCGAATGCGCTTCGGATGGCATTTATACCTGGTCTTTTCACAATCAGATAGCCATCAGATCACAGAACACGCATCAAGTGGACAGGTGTAACATCTCTTCAATGAAAGGCATTTAGGAGATTATCCACACTAATTTTCCCCTGCCTTTATTTGAGACCGGCCTTTATTTTTCTGCGTTGATCACGCACCCGGCCACTATCAGAGGCCTGGCGTTTATTTGAATACCGGTTTTTATTTGAGGAATTACGGTAATCATTTAGCAGATGCTTTTATCCAAAGCGACGTACAAATGAGGAGAGCAATTGAAGCAATTAAACTAACAATAGGACAACAATATGCAAGTGCTGTGACCCTTCCCAGTTTAGTCTGTCTAACGCAGTAATTTAAAATAAATAGATATAGAATAGAAGAGAAAAAGAAAAGAAAGTGTTTGTGGTAATGGATAAAGTGTTGCCAAAAAAGATGCGTCTTCAGCCGTTTCTTGAAAATGGCACAGGACGATAGATCAGGAATTTGTTACTTTTTTTTAACTGTTTTTGTTTAAAGTCGTAGCTAAGTAGCAAAGTTTAAAACGCTTGACTACATGTTGGGTGAGCAGGCAGTCTTGAGCTGTTGTTTGGGACGTCATGGTTAATTAGTTAACACTACAAAATGTGATATGGCCACATGCATCTCTGACCTCCAAATGCACAAGAAAGATGCATTCGACTGTTTTTACTGTTGAGACTCATGTTATTATCAGGTCTAAATAAGGCCATAGTTTCTCTACATGTAGATCCGATGTCTTCTGTATATTCTGATCCTGTAATTGTGGTGTAGGTGATGCTGTGTGGGATGCAGGAGATTGATCTGGGGGACTGGCAGAGGAACGCCATCTACAGACACTACGCTCGCAGCAGCAAACAGATCGTCTGGTTCTGGCAGGTTAGATCTCACACTATAACACAAATCAAATCACACCCACATGATCATAAATGTGGAGATGCTGCCATATTGGTGTCGGTGTTCCATCGTCTGTTGTCTGTGTTTAGTTTGTGAAGGAGATCGACAATGAGAAGCGTATGCGACTGCTGCAGTTTGTAACCGGCACATGCCGACTACCTGTCGGGGGATTCGCTGATCTTATGGGTAAGGGTCAAAGTTTGGCAAACCATAGATGATATAAAAAAAAATCTGTTCTGAACAGGGTTATTATTGTACTAAATCTAAAAACATAAAAATACATGTTCATTACAAACATTACAGACACATACCATTGTTTTAATCTGCGTACAATTTTCTGAAAACCCAAAGAAAGATGTTTAATTAATAAAAAAATGAGAATGAGGGTGAGTAAATGATGATGAAATGTGATTTTTTTTCCCTTTATATATTCAAATTCAGATTATACAAAAGATCAGTGTAATATATGAAGATTTCAGATGCAAACACCATGTCCGTCTGACATTTTTTTTTAAAGGGGTCATATAATGGTACATGTACTTTTACATGACCCAACAAAGTTGATTGTACTGAAATGTGTGTTGGCAGTGCCTGTACACAAACATCATATAATGATAAAAATCCATCCAGTGGTTTTGTTTTAATCTCCTTATATGTTTTCCCCTGCCTCAAATCGAGCCGTTCGTTTTTGTGACGTCAACAAAACGGACGCCCCTCCCACGATTGTTGATTGACGGGAGCGTTTCAACACAGACCCGCCCTTGCACATGAGGTAGCTGTCAATCATAGTCTGCGCGGACCGGCGCGCTCATTGTTGATACGCTGGAGCACTGTCTATGAGCAGAATGGCGTCTAAGCGATTGTGGTGTTCTGTTCTTGGGTGTAATAACGAACACAGTCATTTTAATGTTCCTAAATCCGAACCGCTGAAGACACAGTGGCTGAGTTTGTTTTCGAAGGGAATATTCCCCACGAGCAACGTCAATGCTCTCATGTTTGCGCGAATCATTTCACACACCAGACTGCTTTATAAACGAGGGTCAGTATAAAGCTGGATTTGCTAAGAAGCTTTGCTAAAAAGGATCGGTACCAGATATTCGTGTTCCTGCTGAACCTCCAGAAGAACGGAAGTGAGTGTAACGTTTTATTAAACTTTATATTAATATATTAATCTTTGCAAATCGCTAGCTGCACGCTTCACAATGAATGAGTCTAAGGTTTACACTCAGGGTACATTACGGCATGTTTTCTATGTATGACGTTCTCAATATAATTCATAATTCCACGTTTATACTGAACAAGCGTTATGGTTATTGTGTTACAAACGGTGTATGCACAGAACAGAGAGGCGGAGTCAGCAAAGCTCATGATCATTTAAAGTCATATGCACTGAAACGGCGTGCTGAAAACAGAGCTGTTTTTGACCAGGTAAAATAAGTGTTTTCTTACAATACAAATGAGAATTTTTAATTAAAGTATATTACAAACTTTTAATTTAGACCCTAAAGAATCATATTAGCTTGTACAAAAATGGCATTATATGACCCCTTTAAATCAGGCTTCTATGTTTAGGTTCAGTAATTTCACTTTAATGGCAATGGAAAGGTTATTAGGCACTTATTGAAATGCCTTGTTTTCAAAAATGTCACTAGTCAATTCACTGGTATTTAACTAAATTGATTATCCATGTGAAAACCTCAGAGTCCGTCTGGTTTCACTTTGTCGTGGGTGGAATAGAGCTGTTCTTGGTTATATCCGTTTCTGTCAGGGTTACAGCAGCACACAAAACACTGTTGTGTTTACATGCTACTCGTGAAATCCTGTCCTTGCCACTGTAACTATAGGGGCTTTCGCACCGGGTAGTTCTAGGAACGAGCCTCCAGGGTGGTTTCCCGAGAACTAATGGTTCCCTTAGGAATATTTTCCTGGTTGCATTCGCACCGCCAATAGGAACTCTGAAGTGACGTAAGCCACGGTTGTTGTTGTGACTTTCAATTCTCCGTGTTCATTAGTTTACGATCTGTCTAACAGCCCTGTCTAATACGTTATTAGATAGAACTGTTATACTTAAAGTAGACAGTATATGAAAAAGTATTAGTGTATGCTGTGTGGTTGATGTCCTGAGCACAAATACATAATCATGTTTCGCTTGGTCCCCTCAAGTGGCGCTGGATTTTCTCCTTAGCGTAAAGGTTAAGAGGTCCTTCTATCACTGCTTTCCATGTTCGTAGAGTTAGTTTGTGGAGTAAAAATATAACTTTTTTTTTTTTTAATGGCGGGTGCTGGTGTTTAGAGTACGTTCGGCCAATCAGCGTTCACTAACGTCACTGGTAGTTCATATAGTGCTGGTTTAGACCCGACTCTAAAGTAAGAGCTAAATTAGTTCCTCCAAAAGGATTCCTGGAACTAAAATCATTCCTAGTTCCTGCGGTGCGAACACGCCAAAATCCGGGAACTTCCACCAATAGTTCTAGGAACTATGAAAAGGTTCCTCTGGTGTGAATGCCCCTCATTTCCTTCAGTCTTAAAGGATTAGTTCACCTCAAAATGAAAATTTACTCACCCCAATGCCCCAAAGATGTTCATGTCTTTCTTTCTTCAGTGGAAAAGAAATTAAGTTTTTTGAGGAAAACATTTCAGGATTTTTCTCCACACAATGGACTTCAAGCGCAACTAACATGTTGAAGTACATTGTGTGGGGAAAAATCCTGAAATGTTTTCCTCAAAAAACTGAATTTCTTTTCCACTGAAGAAAGAAAGACATGAACATCAAGGATGGCATTTGGGCGAGTAAATTATCAGGAAATGTTCATTTTGAGGTGAACTAATCCTTTAATGCTCTTAGAAAGGTTGACCACGTTTCCTTTTGCCAGTGACTTGAAACTACTACAGATTCATCCATTTCATTATAATCCTCCATCTTGTTTAAAAATCTCTTTAAACAGGATAAAGAAGTCGCAGCTCGACAACTGAAAGCCGGTTCATACGCACTGTGTCGGTTCATACGCACTGTGTCAGATCATGTGATTTGATTCGCGTCTTCTGATTGGTTCTGTGAATTTAGAGGCTTTTGGTGGCAAAGGGAAGTGGCATTTAAAGGTGTCTGCCAACGAACCAGTATTTCTGAGTGAGCTGAGGCTGGGATTTAGCGAGTTTAAAGCAAAGTATTTGATGAGCGTATACTGTGTGCGGAGAGCATTCGCTCAATATCGTTACCTCATTTACCTCATGACGGAGGTGGCGTTTAGTGGCTTTTGCATTTGAAGTCTTCATATACAGTAATTTGAAAAACATTAGCCAGTTAACACAACTGCGTGAAGTTGACGAAATAGTCTCAATCATTTGTAAACATTTTTGCTTGTGCTGCTTCGTTTTTTTTTAGATATTAAAATAATATTTATAGGTCATTCTTGGGTCTTGCCTCACACACGTGACCCACATGCTCCAAATTCACCCAAAATAGGCTCAATCTTTTGTGCCTTTATGTGTGATTGTTTAGACCAGAGTTTCCCAAACTGGGTTTTTGAGGAAACTGCAGGGAGTTTGTGTTAGAAATGCCTTAACATGTTGGTTTAAACGCAAGTCAAGTCCTTTCTATTGCACTTTAAAGAAAACGTGGTCACACTTTACAATAAGGTTCATTAGTTAACATTAGTTAATGTATTAACTAACATGAACAATCCATGAGCAATACATGTTTCAGTATTTATTAATCTTTGTTAATGTTAGTTAATAAAAATACAGATGTTTATTAGGGGTGTAACGGTTCACAAAATTCACGGTTCGGTTCGATACGATACACTTGTGTCACGGTTCGGTACGTTTTCAATACAGCAAAAAGAAAGAAATGCCAGAGAAATGTCCTTGATTTAATTTTGTATTATATTTTTATTAAAACTAACATCATAAAGTATGATATTTTTTTTTACTTTGAGCTATGATGGAGCTATACTTGACTTTTCTTAGGAGCTTATAAAACAAAACAGCTCCTTGGACAAAATCAAATGTAATATTGTAGTAGTTATAAACAAAGGTTTATTTTAGTTCAGATTAACATTTGAGGGCATTATGAGCGCGCTTGCCACGCGAGACGCGCCTACATTTGAAATAACGAAATGTTGGTCGGCAGGAAAAATGGTCCAACGAACCGTTCGGTTTAAAAATGCGTACCGAAAACCGAACCGAAAGCCTCGTACCGAACGGTTCAATACGAATACGTGTATCGTTACACCCCTAATGTTCATTGTTTGTTCATGTTAGTTCACAGTGCATTAACTAATGTTAACAAGATTTTAATACAGTATTAGTAAATGTTAAAATTACCTAAGATTAATAAATGCTGTATAAGTGCAGTTTGTTATTAGTTCATGCTAACTAATGAACCTTATTGTAAAGTGTTACCGAATATGTTTATTGATCAGAATGTGTGTTTTATTTCTGTAGGGAGCAATGGGCCGCAGAAGTTCTGTATTGAGAAAGTGGGAAAAGAAAACTGGCTGCCGAGGAGCCACACATGGTAAGATCAGAAATCAAATTTCATCACCATAATGTACAGTATGCAGGCCTGTTCTCACACAATCTGTATGGCATAAATGACCAGTGTGCAGTTCATTCACTTCACAATCAAGATTAAATCATTTACTATCTTCAAGCTAAAAATATAGCATTCTGATAGTTAATAATACAGTCAAACCAAACTTTATTCAGACACCTTCAACATTTCTCACATTATCACAGTTTATTCGCTATAGTTTAGAAAATGGTAATAAAATATGAGCAGAACTCAGAGTTATTAAATCAGTTGATATTTGACTGGTTTTTTAAAGGAGTAGTTCACTTTTTAAAAAACTTTTGCTGATAATTTACTCACCCCCATGTCATCCAAGTTGTCCATGTCTTTCTTTCTTCAGTCGAAAAGAAATTAATGTTTTTGATGAAAACATTCCAGGATTTTTCTCCATATAATGGACTTCAATGGTAGCCAAACGGTTCAAGGTCTAAATGACCGTTTCAGTGCAGCTTCAAAGGGCTTTAAACGACACCAGACGATGAATAAGGGTCTTATCTAGAGAAACGATCTGTCATTTCAAAAATAAATAAAAAAGTTAAAGTTTTATAGGCACAAATGCTCGCCTTGTGAACTCTCCTGTTCGAACTCGTTCATCAAAATGAACGAATCTTTTTTCGAGTCAATGATTCGAACAGGAGAGTTTGCAAGGCGAGCATTTGTGCCTATAAAACTTTAACTTTTTTATTTATTTTTGAAATGACAGATCATTTCTCTAGATAAGACCATTATTCATCGTCTGGTGTCGTTTAAAGCCCTTTGAAGCTGCACTGAAACGGTCATTTAGACCTTGAACCGTTTGGTGCCCAGCAAAGTGCATTATATGGAGAAAAATCCTGGAATGTTTTCATCAAAAACCTTAATTTCTTTTCGACTGAAGAAAGAAAGACATGGACATCTTGGATGACATGGGGGTGAGTAAATTATCAGCAAAAGTTTTTTTAAAAGTGAACTACTCCTTTAATGAATTATGTTGAATATCTGTCAGCTGTTAAATTTAACTACACCATTAGATAATACCAGTTTAGCTCAACCAGTGACCAAGCAATGCTTCATGTTGTTCAGTCTGTGTGTAAAAAGAGCATTAGCAATTACAGAAAAAACACTGAAGAAAACATGATCAGCTCAAAGTGTCTGAATAATATTTGGTCCCAAATTTGTATAATTTTACTGGTAGTCACTGTATGAAGAATTTTTTGTGTAGAATATGTCACAGTTTACTTTATTTTGCTCTCCTCACTTACATAAATAAACTATAGTGTCCTGCACACACTAGTAAAAACATATCACAAATTATATCTGGTGTCTGAATAATTTTAGCTTTGACTGTAAATGACCAGTGTGCATTAAATCATTTACTATCTCCAAGCTAAAAACATAGCATTCTTATAGTTAATAATTATAAGATCTAAAACACAAGTTTCTTTTATTGTTCACCCCACCAGCTTTAACCGCCTGGATCTGCCGCCCTATAAAAGCTACGAGCAGTTAAAGGAGAAGCTGCTGTTCGCCATCGAGGAAACCGAAGGCTTCGGGCAAGAGTGATGCGTGCGCATGCATTACCATGATTACCATGACGACACACATCAGCTTTCATCATATCAAAAGCTGCTGCTGCTGCTACTTTAAACCAGGAACGAGGGATAAACAGTGTTTTGTTGGAAGGAAATCTGCCGGCTTAGGCCTCCATTTCCAGTTTTCTGATTTATGCTGCCTTACTCAATGATCATTGGCCAGTCGTCGGCTCACTCTATGCACACTGTGATCCTCTACCTAATAATGACTGCCGCTTGTCGCTACTCTAGTAATGCACATGCAACAGACTCTGTTTATTTTTCCTCTACGACTTGAAGTGTGAGTTTGCATGGTATGAGTCTCCTCTGTTGCGTGTACATTTAAGGAGGACTTTTTTATTGCACCTGAATCCTTTTTAGACATGGGTTAACCAGTTCAAAAGAAAGGTTCGCACTTTATTAGTGAACACACTGGCCTGGTGATTATGGCTAGTGCAAAACCTGCAACATGCAACGGGTTATATTTCACATCAGAATCAAAGGAAATTAGAAATATTGCATGAGGTTTAGTTTTTACACCTCAAAATTGACTTGTAATGCAGGAAAATCTCATTCTTATTGCTGTTACAGTTGCAAAGGATAGGCTTCGTGCTTTTTTTATGCAAAATATAATTTCCTTTTTATTTTTAAGTGAGCTGTGACCTGGAAATGCCTACATTGAGAGTATGTTTATGCATGTGTGGTTGGGTTCACATACAGCAATAGTCCATCAAAACATCTAATTAATTTCATCTTCATAGGCCACTATTAAATATTCACTTTCCTACCAATCATGAGTTCACAATCCACACGACTAATGCTATAATGTTAGCTGATTTAGTGTGGGCAAATTCACAGCCAGAAGTCTTTTATATCTTTAAAAAAAAATGATGTTGTTCATGTTCACCAAAATCACTAATTTCGTGCAAAATGTGCTTTATTTTGTAAAAGAATAAAGTGTGTTTGTGTTGTAGAGATTATGTTATGCCGAAGATTTAGTCCTGACCTCATGGATATTCTGTGCGTTTCAAAGACTTTTCTTCTTATTCATATGCAAAACACAAAACCAGGACTGTAAATACTAATGTACAAAGATTAACTTATGATCATAACAGATTTAGAGGTAGGATTTGAACAAGCAAAGCATTTTTTTGTGTGTTCACTTTATCACAGATTCTGAGAGGATGCTTAATCTTTTCTTTTCCAGAACATGATTTTGATTCATTTGTGATGTGAACTCCTCAGTAAACGAGTTCACATCACGTTAAATTAAATCTGTCATCAGAAACATCATTAGCGTTTGTTACCAGACTCTTCAGTTGGAGGTCTTGCTACAGGGCACTTTATTTACTTTATACCAGATTGTTTGGGTTAAAATTAATTAACTGACAAATAAAGGTCAAGATTCATGTTTCATGTCTTAAAGCATTTTGTAGCTCTGAATATGTAAAGCCTGACCTCTTTATTTTCTTAACACTGTACATCATGTATTGATTCGCCTGCTATCTATAACATATTAACATTGAGTAAAGCTGTGTTTAATGATTTGGATTATATTTATTTTTCTTAAGTGATTGTGTACAGTTGAATGATTAATATAAAGATACCAATTTATTCTCAGCTGAAGAAATAAAAAAATTAAATAAAAAAGGCATTGCTTCTTTTCTTCTTATTTAATCTATATGTTTAAGATTACCAGTTTGCCAAAGTACATTTCTAAATAAAAAAATGATACATGCTTTTGAACAATTTTTGATGAAATGATTAAATTAAACGCAGTACTGTAATTTTATTCAGTATTTAGAATTATTTAAAAATAATACATACCGGTATGCTGTATATAAAAATGTGTTTTGTAAAATGGTTTGTAACACTGGCTCCAGCTGTATAACAACAATATTCTGTGTTCTGTTGTGGGCAATTGACCTTGTTAATTTTTAAGAAAGATGAAACCATTTAATTAATATAATAAACCTTACTACATTACATTTTCTAAAGTAAAATATAGAACTAAATCAGAGAAATCAAGAATGAAGTTTACAAATTATGATATATTCTTCAATTATAGTGTTATTTTTATTTCCTTATTGTGTCATATTTTGTATGCTATTGTTCCTTGATATTTGTGAAGACTCTTTATCGTAAAAATAACAAACAGGAGGAAGGGACCGTTAGATCGTGTTTCGTGTTTCCGATCGGACTCTTCTCGTGTCGCACTCTCTTCCGCTTCGCCTCCATTAAAGGACTCAGCGGCGCTTCGCGGGTCAATTTTTAAACCTTGTTTGGCAGAATCCGATATTAATCGGAGCCATCCTAACAGCAACCATGGTAAGACTTCATTGTTTAGCTTATTAGTGTGTGATTAATCAATTTATCTTAATATTTCGATTGATTAGTTAGGATTTTGAATAAAAAAATGTCTGCGTTTCCATTACGTTGTTGATACGTAGAGCAAAACCGCTTGCAGTGTTCAAAGAAAAAAGCAGCCGGAAACACTAAAGTTGTGATCTAAAGCACGTTATTTATGGTAGTTTATTCCTGAAATGTTTGTATAACAAAATACAGAAATCTTTCTCTAAAGTCCAGACAGGAGAATGAATGAGCGCCGTTTGTTTGCTCTTGCAGCCGAACTCTAGCTTAATGCTTCGATTTAAATACTTGAATCGGACGTTATTACATTAGTTTTGATGCAATTTAATGAATTATGTTTTTCAGCGCTTATTTTTGTTTGTTTAGCTGTATAAGTGTATTGTTTACGTTTTCATGTCCTCTGCTCAAGTCAGTTGTGCAGCTCTAACCGGAAGAAGACTTTTATTTTGCTCAAACCGCTGTCGTCGCCAATAGTTTGTTTTTTAAGCGGATTTCATTGCTATACGCGTTTACAATATTATATACGTTTTGATTCAATTTAGTAATTATGATTTGCAGCACTTTTTTCTGCTGTAGTCGTGTATGGTATACGTTTTCATGTCCTCTGTTTCAGCTGCGAGTTTTGCAGCGGTAACCGGAAAAAGACTTTTATTTTGCTCAAACTATTATTGCTGTCATCGCCGATTATATACATATTTTTTTCTGATTTTACTGCTTAGGCATTCATATTAAGTATAGAATTGTAAATCAACCACCAAAACGTAATTAAGTGTACAAAGTATTGATAGTTTTTTCTTTAATTTGTTATAAAAAAGTCTGCGAGGACAAATACATTTTGGTCGTTGAATTAAAAAAAAAAATTCTAGCAGTATCTGTTAATACTGACAATCAGCAGTATCAGCTGGCTGATGTTCATATGACGCATCTCTAACTTGAACTCTTTTCTCTTTATTGTGTTTCAGACGGTCGGCAAGAGCAGTAAGATGTTGCAGCACATCGACTTTCGGATGCGCTGTATCCTGCAGGACGGGCGAATCTTCATCGGCACGTTCAAAGCGTTCGACAAACACATGAACCTGATCCTGTGCGACTGTGACGAGTTCAGAAAGATCAAGTGAGTCCTTGTGAAACTTAAAGGGTTATATCACCCAAAAAAAATCCCATATTATACTCGCCCTTAAGCCATCCTAGGTGTACATGATTGACTTCTTTCAGTCGAACATAGTCAGAGTTTTATTAAAAATATCCTGGCTCTTCCCAGCTTTATAATGGGAGTGAATAGAGCCTGAGATTTTGAAGCCCAAAAAAGTGCATCCATCCATTATAAAAGACTCAAGGGCATAAAGGCCTTCTGAAGCGAAGCCATGTTATTTTTCTTACACAAACGCATGTCTTCGCTTCAGAAGGCCTTTATTAACCCTGTGGAGCCGTACTGTTTGCTTATGATGGATGAATGTGCTTTTTTGGCCTTTGAAATCATATCCTCCATTCACTGCCATTATAAAGCTGGGAAGAGCTAGGATATTTCTTAATATAACTCTGGTTGTGTTTGGCTGAAAGAAGAAAGTAATGTACACCTAGGATGGCTTGAGGGTGAGTAAGTGGATTAGTTTCATTTTTGGGTGAACTATCCCTTTAAAGTCCCTCCGTTATGAAAATTCAGCGTATTAATATTTCTCAATCATGTCCTTCACAGACCCAAGAACTCCAAGCAGCCGGAGCGAGAGGAGAAGAGGGTGTTGGGTCTGGTTTTGCTCCGAGGAGAGAATCTCGTGTCCATGACTGTAGAAGGACCCCCTCCTAAAGACGTGAGTCGATCACATTTATTTATACAGAGCTTTACAGAGATAACCGGAAAATACAACAAAGTTTGTTTCTGGAAGTGATAGTTCAGTGATAGTTTAATTTTGTTAAATTAACAAAGTTATTAATTTAGTCCATTTATATACAGGTGAAACTCGAAAAAATTGAATATCGTGCAAAAGTTATAATTTTGATTATGGCTTACAGCTTATGAAAAACCCAAATTCAAAATCTCAGAAAATTTGAATATTACATGAAATCAATAAAAAAAGGATTTTAAATACAGAAATGTCGTCCCTCTGAAAAGTATTATCATGTACATAGTTATTACTAAATATGTATATACAGGTGAAAAGTGAAAAATTAGAATATGGTGCAAAAGTTCATGTATTTCAGTAATTCAACTTAAAAGGTGAAACTAATATATTATATAGACTCATTACATGCAAAGTGAGATTTTTGTTATAATTTTGATTATGGCTTACAGCTTATGAAAACCCCAAATTCAAAATTAGAATATTGTGAAAACGACACCGTTTTAACAGAAAACTCAAGTTCTCTCTACGCAAACTTTAAAAACGCGAGCCTGTGAGAACGCTGATGGCGCCCACATGTGTATTAAGAGCTCACTCTATAGGGATGCGCGTTTGAATATATGCGCAGGCATGTAGTCCTTCCCTAAAAAACAACCCTCAACAAACTACTTGTCTGGCCTTAAAACTTATAATACAGAATTGTAGCTCTTCGGCGTAGCCACGCGAACCGGGATTATCCCCACAGCGGACAGAGGTAAAGGAGGCCTTCACCTGCATTCGGACTCGTTTGA